GTATTTAAGAATGAATGAGAGTGAGAATGGGTTTGGATCTAGAAACTGCGTTGACACAACCTTGGTGACGGACCACCATCTGACCCCGGATTGCCAACAACCACCGGGATGATGATTCACGATGCCTGCCGGTAATTTATTCTAAATAAACTGGAATTGCCGGTGGACTGCGAGAAGTGTCATTAAGACTCATCGACTCTGTACTTGTAAAATTTCGACTTATATAAATCCAAAATCAAGGACGTTAAGAGAGAAATCAAGAAAGGCAATATGACAATTAAGATCGTATACAGCATTTTGATATTCCTCGAGGAATTACCTCTTGAGGACTGCGGAGTGTTGAACCTGTAGTTTGGTCATCAATATATACTCATAATAAGTCGTTTTTCAATTGTTTTGGGAATGGTGCAAAAAAAATAAGAACATTTGTAATGAATGAATAAACATTTCGTTTAGCTGATATTAATTAAGTCTAAGCAACTCTCAATAAAAATGTATTTAGGTGCCAACTTCATATTCGTATTAAAATAGATGGATTTGGAGTGCAGTAAGTATTAATTATTTATCAAAGACAAATGAAAAAATATTCATTTATTATTTATATATTTATTTATTGGTAAAAAATTATAATTATATAATAAATCAAGCGTATTGTTGTTATTGATTATTGTTGTTAACTGTTTGATTATTGACTGTTCGCTATTGATTATTGGTAATTGGTGGTTTGTATATTACGATTGTATAATATATGTTTTACCGTGTTATATAATATATTATAGATTATGGTATCGTATAATTTAATTGAAGATAAATTGATATATTGTTATGGTACAATAAATTAACTTTATGGTTGCTATGGTTACTGATTGCTAATTATTAGAATGATTGTTTGGCTGTATAAATAAAGAATTACGTATGTAAATCGATACCAAATTATATTAAGTTTACATTATTTATTTATTGTTAAATAGTTATAAATTGTATAAGAAAATTTAAGGTTAAGCCCACAATAATAGTATGAGATATGGTATGTATAGAGAAAAAAATCGCATATAAATAAATATATTTTTTTAAATGTAAATGAGACAAGAGCCAGAATTGTGTTGTCACCCTTTCTCCCCTGGATGTTAATCTCCGGGTGCGGAAGCAGAAAGGGGTACAAATAAAACAAAATGAATGAAAACCAAAAATAAACTCAAAACAAATAAATATATTTGCCAACTTTACAAAAGTGCCTAAACCAGTATTATTAAGAGAAAAAAACACTACCTTTTGGTTGATTGATTCAAGAATGAGTACGTTTCAGCTTCTTGACATCTTTAGTGATAGGGACAGCAGCAAATTTTCGAGGTCACGATAGCTCAAGTGGTAGAGCAGCGGCGTATCTAGCCGAAGATCGTGGGTTCGAATCCCGCTCGTGCCATTAACTTTTTTTCATCTCAACTAAAAACCTTAATTAATTTATTAAAAATTAATTAGTTTTTATTAAAAAATTAATTTTAATGGTTTGGGAGAAAATAAATCAAAACACCGGAATACGATTTTTTGATATAATGAATTTAACTCGCTTCTGCGGTACATATACTAAAATTTGAACAATTTATTACACGGTTTTGCTCATAAAAGTTAATTAACAATTTATTTCATAGTTTTGCTCATAAAATTACACCATTTTCTAATGTCGGGTAGCATCAGAACAGGACACCCATATTTTTTGTAGTTTATTTCTAACTAAGTACATGCAATATTAATTGCATAATCGTTATATTAATTACAACATGTTATTTTAATGTAAACCAAATTAAACAAGATCAAAAATGCATAAGTTTTTATAAACATTGTTTAATTATGATGGTTAGGAGTAACTTTATTTAAAACAATTAAGTTTAACAAACAATTTATTAGATGGTTGTGCTCATAAAATTTAACTAACAATTTATTACAAGGTTTTGCTCAAAATAGTGCAGTGATAGTGATTATTGTGATAAACGCTGTGGACTGTACGCGACGGATTGATGTGCACACCCCAACAAAACGTGGCAAGGCGTCGGGTAAGTGTGTTCCTGGCTTCAGTAAACATGCAAATTCTTGAAAATATGAAATTTGCATATCCAGAGGATTCAAAAAATTTAAGTGAATAAATTAATAAAAATGTATTGGAAGATTCAGTCCAAACAGAATCGGGGCGTAGAACAATTATTACAATGGAACAATTATTAAATCGTGTTTTTTAATTTTTTGTTAAACATAATTAAAAAATTCTAGCGAAAATACCACAGTTCGTGCGTAATCACTTCCCAGGTCTAATTGTATGTTAATATACAATTAATTATCTAATATTAGAGTAAATTTTAATCGAATGCTAGATGGAAAAGGAAGATTGCAATCTTTATTGTTTTCCGGCGATTTAATTTAAAGATTATGCTTATGCATTGGAAATGTTGTCACGTGGTTAAATGTTGTAAGACATTAAAGACGTTTAAAAAATTCCTAACCGTTATTGCGGCTTCGATCACACCCACACGTTGCTGTCTCCTTTTATCTATCGAAAAAGTTTCCACCCTCCGAGGAGCTCGTCCCTGGGGCCTAGTCACTCTCAGATACGAAATCTCGTTGAATACATTATCTGTATGGAAGGATGAGAAGTAAGAAGCTGAAGGTTATCGGTGGATCTTATCTGGAGCGTAGGCGGCCGGAATCGGACAGGATTTATAAGTGGCCGACCCGAGGGCCTTTCCATATCCTCGCACACCTTTCATTCAACAACGATCGCCTGATCCTATCGGAGGAACGTTCTTTGTTACCACTGCCAATTTACAATGGAGAAATTATACTGCACTTGTATTCCAATGAATTGAATTACACGCTTTGTCTAAATTATAAGTTTCTATTCAATTAAAAAAAATATATATATAAAACCCACCAAAAATAGTTTTACTTGTACTATGGTATATAGTAATTTTCATCCTTTTGTCTACAATCAAATTTCTTATGATTTTGTCATCAATTTTTGTGTTTACACATTAGATTTCGTGGTCCGATTGAATAATTATTAATAAATAATAATAATTTTTTTCAATTAATTAATCTTTATGTAAGGTATTGGTTGAGATAAAAAGTCTGTGTCACAAGCGGGATTCGAACCCACGACCTTCGGCTAAATACGCCGCTGCTCTACCACTTGAGATGTCGTGAGGGTTGATTGAAAAAGGTTGGGTTGAGATGGGAAGTTAGTGTCTGAGTTGATCGACGTCTCGATAGCTCGAGTGGTAGAGCAGCGGCGTAATTAGCCGAAGATCGTGGGTTCGAATCCCGCTCGTGACACTGACATTTTTATCTCAACCAACACCTTACATAAAGATTAATTAAATTTTGTATAACTATACAGTAAATTTGTCACAAGAAGTTGTAAGTTAAAAATGGTTTTAAAAACGAAATCTGATAATCTTCTCTAAGTTACTGCTGTTAGCCAGCCAGTGGTTCATAAACAAGGTGAGATAGAACATATTTTGTATTAATGGATTCAGATGACATGATGTTGTCGGGAACAAGATGATGTGTATGTCATAGTTAATGGTGTGATTATATACACTAAGAGGCAAAAAAGTGGCCACCCTCGTTTATTAAAAACTTGCAATAGTTATAAGTTTTATTTGTTGTTATATGCTGGATATTTTTAAAGAAAAATATAAGATATAGCTAAATAAAAAATTTAAAACAATAAAAATTAAACTAAAACAATTATGGAAACAATGAAGAAAATATTCCATTCAGTATGGAGTATTTCCTGGTCTTGGTTGTGATGCTTGCATTCGACGTGGCATCGCTTTCCTGAGATTTTGAATGTAGTGCTGTGGAAAATTTTCATATTTCTCCAACAGCGCCATTATCAACTCCCGCAAATTCTACGCCATAACTGGGCAACTTGAACTCTATTTGATATCTCGTCCCAAAGGTTTAATTCAGGACTACATACCGGCTACTCCAAACATTGAATTGAAGCCCATGCCAAGTAGTCACAAACTATCGTTCCTGTGTGGGGTCTTGAATTGTCATGCATAAAAATATTATAGTCATCAATTAATGCCATGTAAAGAACAACTTTTTTAGATAACGCATCTTCAGTATATCGCCCAGCTGTTAGGGAACTCTCGATGAAGATCAAATTCATCAAGATTAAGCGACCTTCCATCTAAATGCTTGACCAAGCCACATCACCACCACCTCCATAGCTTCTCCGGAGTGAAAATGTTGCGGGAATATATCGCTCTCCTGTTATTCTCCAAACCCTCTCTCGGTCGTCGAAAAACCTCAAACAAAACTTGACTCATTCGAAAACAGCGTTTTACTTCAATCTTGCTCGGACCATTTGATGTGATTTCTTGCGACACTCAGACCTGCTATGTGCCTTGCCAGAAGTTCTAGACCAGTGGCAGGTCTTTTCGATGTAATACAGCTTCTGTAAATCTTCGCCTTGCATTGCGTAAACTGACAATAACATCTCTAATTTGTTAGAGTCGTATGATCTAAACAGGAGAAGAACGTCGATTAAGGAGTACATTCGAAACAAAAAAACGACCATCTCTTTGAGATGTGACACGATGGCGACCTGCTCCATGTCTTCTTGAGAAACCTCCAGTACCTTGGTAGCGACGGAAGACCCTTCGGACAATTGTTCTAGGATTGTTAAGAACCCTGGCCACATACGCTTGACTTCCTCCATCTTTCAACAGAGATATGATTATAACCGAAACTGTAACGCTTAAAACCACCAATCAAACAAATTTTAAACTTAAAAATGACACGACTTAAAAAAGTCAAACTATCGGAACCTTGGAAAGAAGCTTTACAGAAAAGCAAGCAAAGAAGAGATCGGCTATTCAAAGATTTATTTACAAAAACCAATTGTAAACACAAGTGGGAGATTTTATCTGTGTTTTATTTACCTCTAATTCTTTACAATGGACCAAATATTGTTGTAAGATGATCAATGGATGATTGTCTAAGAGTTAGTTAAAAATATTAAGGAAGGATGGGATAAATAAGTTCTAGCGCCCGTGTACATTTTTGAGTAGAGTTCTTTATGTTTTATAATGTTAGATCAGAATGGTTACCTAGTAGAAGTTCTGTCGTCTTGTCTCTCTTTTCCATTACATTTATTTCATTGATTTTTAGGTAGATTTCAAGTGCATGACGAACTTACTTGGTCCGCTAACACTCGCTAATTTTACTCAAATGTATTTGGTGTGTTCAGTGGTGTAAGAAAGGTTAGTGGACTCATCAGAATATAAAAGTTATGGTATAGCGGTGAACGGGAGGATTAGCATTGTAGAGGAGTCAAAAGAGTGGTGTTCCTTGGGTAAAGGTAAAAAGGTGGTTCCTTAGGTCTTTCCTTATGTAAAACCACCGTAGATAGGATAAATAAAAAATGTAGAGAGATCTTTGATTGTATTTAAGTAAATATTTGATGTTTTTAGGTTGAGGTGGGTGAAAGAACTCTTAAAGTTTCTTTAGCAGGCCGAGGTGCCTGCCCAGTTAAACCTTGAAGGATCCAGACTGTTCTTGCTTCTTCTAGCAACTGTGCCGGCAACACGATGGACTTGGTGTATCAATGATAAATTGAAGCATTTTTCAAGTGATGCGGATGATCAGGCTGATGGGGTAATAAGAAGTGAGGTGATCTGTTAGTTATTTAGTTCTGTGTTTTGTACGAAAGACAATCAAATTAGTTTAACTATTTAATTATTAATACCTTAACTATTAACATCTTCTCTTTTTTAACTAGCCAACACTTTATACAACGAAATATTTTGTATTTAACCAAATTGGTCTTATTGTAATGTCATGTGTTATTCAAATTAAAGATTTAAGTTTGTCTTAATTTTTTTAAAATCCTTCAATTATATATATTTTTCTTGAGAAATTCATTTAATCCGGTAGCATAAGAAATTTCTGAGAGATCGAGAAACACTTAGCTTCACGCCGGGATGGTCTCTGAACCCTTAAACGGCTTTTATCGTTTTCCGTTTGCCTTCCTTTCCACCATAACGATATCAACCAACGGAAATATAATTTAGAATCCCTTCCCGAAAGAACACGATTTCTCCATTCAAATTATTTGAAACAGGAAGTAAGCTGGCGTTTTTTATTTTATTTTTACTTTTTTTCCCTACCGATTATAATTTATGGATAATCGGATTCCATTAATCTAGGGTGACCGGGTGAAAACCGAGAGCGAGAATCGGCGGACCAAAAATAACAAGTATCGATCAAAATCTGGTCCATAACCAGCAGCACCCCACATGTTGAGATCACGACAAAGTAGCATCCTTACCTGAGATTTTCTTACGCTTTGTATACACCCAATATTTGGTCGAAAACAAAATAAAAATATCTAAAAATAATACATAAATACTTTTTTCACTATAGTTATAAAATACGCAAAGATACAAACCGGACACTTGTAATTATTTTTTCATTTTCCATAATAAATAGGCACAAAGATTAATAGATGACTTAAAGTGTAAACACTATATCAGTAACAAGTTGTTTACCTTTATAGAGTGTTATTAATCCTTTTACACTCTTTAGATGAAAAGTAAAGAAATTCCAACCTCTCCTGAATCAACTTGTTTAGTGAGATAATTATTTTTAATATTTTTTATGAATCAATTAATTCAGTAAAAAATAAATTATATTTTTTTATCTTAAAAATGTTTTTAAATAGAGATCTCACTCAGTAGATGATGAGGCCAACGACGGACGTAGCGCCGGTATCGTAGTCCAAGACCTAGAGCTATACCGCGTCCTACCATCCAGGATGGACTATAGCGGTTTTGGGCCGCCAGAAGTCTAGGATCGAATAAAAGGTAGTGGTCGACCTGTACAATGTACAACGGCTAGAGCCGATTGTTTTATTGCTCATTTCTTCCCTTCATTTAATGGCTTCCTTGATATGTAGTCAACTGGTAAGGTCTGTAAGGTAGGGTGAGCTCTAAAACAGTCGCCAGAGGGCTTCGAGAATACAATAGTCACATCAGGTTCTATGGACGGAATATATTATCGAAGAACGATAATAATAGAAACAGGGACGATGTACACGTCAGAGGCCAGATCACAACTCCAATTTACATACAAGTACAATATATACACCACTTATCATCCCAGTCAAGGCAATATATTTTTTAAATTTGATAATAGATCATATGCTTCTGTTGTACATTAGAGTCGTAGATATAAAAGATTAATGGGGTGCCGTGGCCGCACTCCATTTTCATACCATTCTCGCTATTTTATAACCCGGCAAGGCGATGTAAGGCCGTCGCAACACCTCCTGTTTGCACCCGTTTCTTCTACCCCAGAAGAAGGACATTTCACAAGGAATGATCCCATTTAAAGAAAGGGTTTAAAGAAAAAAAGAGGGCGGCTAGGCAGGAAACTACGTCCAGGGTGAAATGTAATTTTCTGGTAAGGGGGCACGGGAATTTATTGCCCTCGTTGAAGTAAGGTGGGCTAAGTCGAGCCAGGAAAGGAGATGAGGAAGTACGGGGAGCCTGTGCTCTCGAAATGGAAATTTTTTAAGCGCCTCGTTAAATCCGCGTCGAGAGAGGCCGGATTAATTATAAAAGCGGTCCTTTCACACTTAAACACCGACGACAAACACTCCACTTACTTGATCTTCAAGACGTTGCATAATTTTACTCAGTTAATAACGTACCTTTTCCCCTCGAAACTAATGAAAATTTACTCCGCCCTGCCTTTTAAACAATGTACTGCAACTTCTCTCCATTGCTGGTATTAACATATTCAGTTAAGTATTACCTATCCGTACTTTAACCTCCCAGTATCGCATTTAGTACTCGTTTTAGACCTAAAAGTACGTTTGACCTAAAACACCACACATTTTCGCCAAATTTATGTCCAAACATAATACATTACTGTTTAATTCCTTCGTCACATCTGTAAGCATAATGGTAAAGATTTCTAAGGGTTAAGCTGGAAATCCTCCATAAAGGCAGACTATTGTTTTTAAGAGAATTATAAAGCTCTGTTCACCTCTTTAGGACACACCCGTATACTCACTCGTATCAACACGTCTCCTTTCATTCAACATCAAACTATTTTATTCGTTTTTATAAACTCGATCCTGTTAATTTGCACCATTGAGCAAAAATGGCTTGTTCAAATTTATTGAAAAATCATCGCGTTCAGAATATCACATCAAACTTTGTGAGCACCTATTTCCTTGTAGATTTACTTGGAATAACCTCTATAAAACGCTTATATTCTGAACAAATCAGGAGCAACACATTTACACCCTTCGTCAATTAAAACGCAACTCTCATCTAAGAATACTTAGGTTGATAGAGGTATTCCATTCTATTCATTTAGTCTGTCTCAATTAAAAACTTATTAATAACCATCGTTTCTCTTGATGCCCTCCAAATTCTTTACCACTATAAAATGCGAACTACCAGATCTTTGTGAAAGATGTTCGAACGAATCACTTAGCTTAGCCACTGAAGTTGTTATACAGACCAGCTATAGCAATTATTACTGCCTCATTAGACCCATGGGAATTAGTACAATTCTAAACATTTCCCAATTGCTCCTGGCCTGGGATAAATCACCTTCCTTATATTTAAGCAGGGAAAGGGTTAAGGTTGATCTCTCCAAATCCTGTTCAATTTGTTACAACGAGAATGACCTCGCACACCTCGTAGCATCCTGCCATGTGTTTAATTCCGAAAGGACACTTTTCCTTAGCAATTAATTACTTTTCGTTCACCAATGCTACAGTGACATTTTTTAACATCCCAAAATCTCTACCACCTTAATATACACTCTGTCACACACCAACAATATACAATACATACATTTTTTATTAAAATCAAGAAATGTGTAAATTTTCTCTAGGGGTGGTGAGGAACGAGTAGTGTACTCACCGGTGGACATGAATTGGTCGAGTGGGTCTGGCAGCTAATCCAGCAATATTAGATAGCCCAAACGTACAGCTGGATATATTAAATCCATTAGAGTTCGTAATCCGATTGACCGAATAAATTTTTTTCAATTAATCAATCTTTATGTAACGTATTGGTTGACATAAAAAGTCAGTTTCACGATCGTGATTCGAACCCACGACCTTCGGCTAAATACGCCGCTGCTCTACCACTTGAGCTATCATGAATTCGATCCACTCGGACACCAACTTCCCATCTCAACCCAAACTTTCGAATTTACCCACTTTTTGCCATTTTTCAATTTGCTCAATGTATATTTTGTACAGATAGCAATAAATAAAATAATCGAAATAATCGATCCACTAGAACACCAACTTTCCATCTGACTTTTTTTATCTCAACCAATACCTTACGTAAAGATTAATTAATTGAAAAGAAAGTTGAAAGTTATTCGGTCCATCGGACCACGACTCTAATGGATTTAATCAGTAAAATGAAGTATATCTTCACTAAAGCTCTCCGTGGCCATTTCATTTGTCGCCGAGAATCGAATAGATTACACAACTTTTTATTAAATTCACTAATTTCGTGGTCCACTTGACCAATTACTGAATTTAATGAATTAAAATGAAGTACACTTCACTAAAGCTCTCCGTGGCCATTTCATTTGCCGTCGAGAATCCAATCCGATTACACGACATTTGAAAAATGGCAAAAAAGGGGGAAAATTCGAAAAGGTGGTTTGAGATGGGAAATTGGTGTCACGAGCGGGATTCGAACCCACGGCCTTCGGTTAAATACGCCGCTACTCTACCAATTGAGCTATCGTGACTTCGATCATGAAAATGGCAAAAAGAGGGGAAATTCGAAAATTTGTAGGTTGGGATGTAGAGTTGGTGTCAGAGTGGATCGAAGTCACGATAGCTCAAGTGGCAGAGCAGCGGCGTATTTAGCCGAAGGTCGTGGGTTCGAATCCCGCTCATGACACTGACATTTTTATCTCAACCAATACCTTACGTAAAGATTATTTATTTGAAAAAAGTATGTATTACTCTGATCAACAATAATTCGTAATTTTATTGCATTATTGTCGTTTTTAGTATAATTGTATTACTATGATCACACTTTAAGTGTATCTACGCAGAGTCCGTTTTCTTGTTTACTACGTATATTCATCTAAAAGGCTTACATGTTATTAATTTTTTACTTTATGCAGTTTTTTTTTTACTTGAGTTTTATTACATCAAAAATAATTGCAATAAAATTATATTTATTCAATGAAAACCATCGACTATTTAGAAAAGATATCGTTCTCAAAATATTTCCATTAATGCTGAAATGCATTCCTTAAGAAATTTTCTTGGCGTTTAACAGCGACACCCTGAGTTGGCCGTCGAGCACAGATGTCAGAATATTGGCTTTTTCTTGGGTTTTTCAAAAATGCTTATCGGAATATTGCCAATGCTTTTATATCTAATATAAAAAAATCTCGGTGAAAGTATTCAACATCTGTGTCGTTTCAGTATTTCCAAAGTTTTATCAATAACACAAATAAAAACATAAAAATCAAAATTCTGAAATGAACGTTTTAGATTGTTATATTATATAATTAGTATAAAATAAAACATACAAAATTAAATATTTGTTATTACGATTAACTACAATAAGATTTTTTTTTTAAAATATTGGGGTTTTCAAAAATCAGTTCAATGTTTTGTTGGAATGGACGAATCTTTATGTGGTGATTCGGGGGTCAGAAATTCCAGGGGTAACGTTGGGCATCGAACTCAAGACTACGAGCCGAGGGTCTGACGCGCTATCCAAGGCTACTGTAGTTCTTTACGTTTAGATTGTTTCATAGCATCTT